CGCCTTCTACGAAGTCTTTGGTAGTGCCGACGGCTTTTCACACATCTCCTACGAAGTTCGGCAATATCCTCCGACCACCAGTAGACTTGTCGTTTGGTCGGAGGAGCTCTGATACGCTTCATTGCCGCATCGCATACGGTATATACTAAATCTATCAATCGACTCCACCTGATTCCATTGACTCAAGGTTCCAAGAACTATGGCTGCTTCTTCTATCATTTCCCTATCAAAACGCCCATCGTGGTTTCTCTGATTGTCGAAATTGGTTACTGATATACGAATTAGATCGGATTGCAGATATGCTGAACTGAATGTATCGGTGGTCAGAGAGAGTTTCTACTTCTTCGAGAACTGTCCCATCACGAACGCGAAGTGCTAGAATGGCAGTCGCAAAGGTAACATCTATGACTGATCCTCCCCATCTACGCACACACGTTTCCACTGATCCACGGTTCAGTATCATTAGGCCACATTCTACCAGCCATTCACGAAGAACTTCTCCACGACGATCGGTCCTTGAAGAACCCCAAGCAATGCACTTAGCGTTAAGATCGCCAAGCACAAGAACAGGTTGAGATTGATGCTGGCCAATAAGAGATGTCATTTCGTCGAGGAAGCCCTCAAACTCCATAAGGGCTCTATTCGGCGAAAAATAAGCTTAAATATTACTTCACCAAGTTTTTGCTACAAACCCTCTTCCCCTTCGAATGACATCTATGTGATCTACCGGTGATTGAGTTGTAATGGCCACCAAAATCTCCGACCCAGTCCGATCGAAGCGGAACATGGTACGGTTCGGTAACCACAGCCACATGAATAGACCTCTCCGCAAGGCTTTGAAGGAGGAAGTCCTGAGCTCTGGCGGAGTGGTTGATATTCGCCTGTAGTATTTGGAGAGGACCTATCTTGAGAGATGTGTTGGCCCTCCTCAGCCTGCTCTGCAGATTGGCTTGACGACACCGGTTTTACGGGTCTTTTCTTGTTCACTTCTCTCTTGGACGGGGGCTTGGCACAATTCTTGCCCCCGGAGAGGTGTCCTGCTGGTTTTTCAGCCGCTGCGCACGAGGTGCAGTACGGCTCAGCTGAGCAATCTCTGGCCATATGGCCTAGTTTGCCGCAACGGTAACATTCTCCGCTGCGATCAACTTCTGATTTACACTGGGCCTGGACGTGACCCTGCAAAACAACGTCGTTGCCTGGGTTCTAGAATCTGGATTCGCGCACTTAACCTACCAGTAAACGACCTTCTGTCTGCAGTTTTTTGGCTGCTATCAATGGGCATCTTACAAATACCATGCCCATACCTGATGATGTACGAATTTGCCTACCTTAACGTCCTCCTCTTTACAACTAATACATAATAGCCTTCGCTTAGTCAACTGAGTCATCTAAACCTGCTACACGAAAAAATATCCGCCATTAAGGTGGGCCTAGATATTAACACATCATCCGAATTGAGAATTCCTCGTATCCTATCGGCCAGAGTATCTGCTTTTTCAGCCTGTTCTGCGCCGGGTATTTCGAATAACCGTGCACCGCTCGCAATCTTGACTGGGGGTATTTATTGCCCCTAGGTCAATTTTCGCCTTGGCTTCGGCGATTACTTGCGCGTATGTCATTCCACGCTCTGTTGCATCTGGCCGCAAGGTGACGATAACTGCTGCTGTGCGGGGCGAACGTAACTTTGATTTCAGCTTGGTTTTGGCTTAGCTTGTAGCGGAGCTGTTTGTCTCTGTGGTGCAGCAGAGCGAGCTCGTACACGTCTCTAAACGTCGAACTACAGTGCTCCAGCCTTCATCCACCTTCTGCGTTGCCTCTTGCGCTAGCGCCTGCGTTGCCTCCTGTACTGGCTCCTGCATTGTTTGTATCTGGCGTGAAGCCGAGGACGATTTCTGGACTTCTACGGTAGACACTGGTGTCGGAGTCATGTCCCGTTTCTTTTCCTTCCCTTTGCGTTTGCCCTTCTTGCTCTTAGATGCAGGGGGAGTCACAGCTTTTACAGATCTGGGCTCAGCTTGCATATTTGGCGGAGACACATCATCGTGTTTTTTGCTGGCGCATTTAGGGGGATGTATTAGCCTTTCTTCATGTACGGTCATCCTCTCGTTGATTGCCTGGCAAATTTGCGTCATAATATCAGTCGTTTCGACATATCGACAGGTGTAGGGGTAAGTTGTGGTGCACTTTCTTGAAGAGGTGCTCTGCTACTTTTTAGCTCCTCCCGTAATTCCGCTATCTCGTTGCGAAGGTCCTCTATTTTAAACCACTGTCGTTCGTTTATGGCCTGAAGCCGTTGGGTCTCGTCCGACGCAGCTCGTTGGCTCAGGATCTGAACTGCCTCTCTTATGGCAGCTACTGCATCCTTTAGTGCCCGAGCTAGTGAGCCTTTTAAACCCTTGGATGTCTTCGACACCTTCTCAACCACCGCTAGACTCTCGCTGACCACCTTGACTAGGTTAGCTGCGGTCTCCTCCTTCGCTCTGAAAGGCGCTTCTTGTCTTGAGGTAAGGCTTGCATGGCGAGCCTTCGAGGCCATTTTCTCTACCTCTCTTTCAAATTCTTCCCCAGTTCGCAAGGCTTGATCGTCCTTGTTAGTTTTTAGGAACTGTGCTCTCCTTTGCAATAAGCCAAGAAATTCGCCGACGTTTGGAGATGTTACACGACCACGCTTTGGCGTTGAGCATTTTCCTGCGATCACGGTTTCATTTGCAGTGTCACTTCCACTGCTGTTACTCCGGCTCCCGATACCACCTTCCGGGGAGGCTTGGCGTAAGCTCACTGTTATGAAACTGAGAGCTGAATCCGATTCTGAAACCCTTCCTACTATCCCTCTCGTTTGGCGAGATGCAGCCCTACTCCTTGTAATCCTAATATTAGAGGCCGCATAATCCTTGGCGGGCCTCTTTTCTACAACATCCTTTGCGCACATTACTTCCACACCGTCCTTTATGGACCCTTCATTTGCACCGTCCGTCTCGGACACAACATCAATAATTGTTTTTTTGAGATTTTTACTTTCCATCATTGATCCCACGAGTACTGGAGAATGAGTCTCCAACAGGCAGAGCTCCGATACCTGTTGGGGCCTATTACACGCTGAGGGCGGCAGGTGTCAGCGGGTGGTGCCCTCGCGGTCGACGTTACTCCGCCGACCTGCCCACTTCACAGAACACGCTAGCCAGAGTAGGTTTCCGGCAGCGTGCTCTGTATAGTGAGCTGTCCATCGCCGGGCACCGAAGCTTAAACAAGAGGATTTTTATAGAGGTTTACTCCTCGTGGCCCGGACAGTTAAGGCAAGGCCTCCGGTCCCACACTAGACGAATCCAGCATTAGGATTACGAGTTTGCCTACGGTGACATAGAATCTGTCCGGCTGCGCAGCAAAGCGCTCACCGGACCCGTCAGGCGGACCCTACTCGAGTGAGCAGGAGAACTGCGCGTAGTTGCGCGCCCATCCACATGTGATATCCTACCATCAGAAAAGACATATAACCAAAACTACAGGGGATACAGGACAAAACAATACAATAAGATAAACTAAAATAAAACAAATCCAAGAAAAACTAAAAAGCAAGAAATCAAAACTCAAGATCGAATTGGGCAAATTTGTGACACAGATAAGCATGTCACAAACTTGACCAATACGTGATGTCGGAATATTAGCCGCCGGTAAGTGAGATCTCCGAAGAGAAGTTACTTACCGTCGTTGCCCAGGATGCACCGTCCCCAACCATTGTCAGCCACCGTTCCCGTCGGAAACTACTTATAACCTAATTTAACTTATTTGAAGGGATTGTTATTAATCAAACTACCTGTCCCATTGCTAGCAATATAGAGTATATTGCTAGTCAAGAGTAGAGTCAGGTCGATTTCCACGTGGTCCGCCCTGAAACCCTCGTGTTGAATTTCAGGTGTATTCATTATGGTGGGCTAACTGACCTGCGTTTTCATTCTCACCTATCAGCATTCACTGGAACCTTGTCAGGGTACACCGTTAGTGCAGGCAGGGTTACCACTCCATTGTCATCCTTAGGGCGACGGTTAAGCTGGCCCGGCACGGTCGACGACGTATTTTTATGCCTTTTATTTATATAGTTTCCCACAATTTTGACCATTTAGCCGGTGCTATTTACAATAGTGCGGGCTGGGCCCACTAGGCCTAAACATAGTGACGCGCAGGCGGCAGCCCGCGCAGTCGACGTCCGGGCAAAGAGTGCTAACCCGAGGCCCGCACCTGCAACCCCGTAAGGTGTTGTGGATGAACCCGCTGCTGTCATACATAAAAAAAATTGTATTTATAAGATCATTTCGGTAGATGTGACATCAAAATTCTTTCCTACTCTTGTTATAAGTCAATGCTTTATAGTTAAATACGCTTTAATTTTTGCAGTCCTTGTTTGTTATAGTTGGTAGTGGCGATTTTTGTAGGTAACTAAATAAATTTATCTATGCCTGGTACGTTAACAAATTGTATGTATATAGATATTATATGTACTATAGGTCCTATGTACTTTTATATTTTTATAACTTTAATTTTTATATATATACTGATATATACCTACGTACAACTATTTTATACATTTGAATAATAAAACATTTAAATGAAATAGATGATTTAGTGTTTATTTCTTTAAACTGCTAGACTTCACTAGACTTTTGAAGAATTTTATTTATTTATTTTTTTAATTATAATTTATTATTATATACTTTCATTCATTCGAAACAGAAATTAATAAACAATCAAATTCTTTCAATTTGATTGCTTCAAAAAGGAATGCAATTGATATTAAAATAAAATAAAACTGGTTCCTGTTCATAATACGTAAAATGAAACGTAATATTATAATCCTACAAAATAAAAAAGTCTACACAGACCAAGGAAACAAACACCGCCAAAGAGAGAGTTATAGCAAATTTACAAAGAGTGATAGAGAGAGCGCCATATCTGGACGTTATAACGGGTGTTTTGATCGAGAAGGACTGCCTGATTTGACAGTTTAGCAATTTGACATATTGTTTGTTTGTTATTTGATTTCGTTGATTGTATTGTTTATGTAATTCTTAATTAGTTTAACAATGAAAACATATAAAATTAATTGTGTAATTTAAAGGTTTAATTTATAATGTCTAGTGCAATGGATAACATTCAAATACGTGCGTGTCGTGTGTGTCTTAATACAGAATGTCCTGACAATATATCTTTGGAGGCAGGCAGTGCCTGGTTGCGAATGTATGAATATTGCTTTGGAATACCAGTGAGTTATATAGATTTATTATTTTATTTCATATTTATTTTATTTAAAATCTTAAATTACCGTACGGTCCCGTTATAGAATGGGCTACCCCTTCTTTTCCCGTGGATGTTACTACATCAACTAGTGGCGACTAAAAAAATTTAATTGACGAGGGATAGGCATTAGCGTCCCTCTTAAAGTAACATCGAAGCTAAAGCAAAGAGGTCTATGTTCAGCAGTAGACAGACGGCTGATATGATGAGTTGTAATTAACCCCTTAATGCATATTTTTTAAATCATTTTAGGTATACAAAAAAAAAATTTTTTTTGCAAATAATAATATTATTTATGCTTATTTTAACTATCTTATGCAGTTTTTTTTATTAATATTTTAATTGTGTAAACACATCCACACATGAAAAAGGTAACTTTTAGAATGATAATGTGAGTCATAAACATCTAGCTCTAGTCTTAGAAAAGCAAATGCAAATTCCGAGAATAGCAATAATCTACCATCCAATGTGACAGATATGGACTTAAAATATTTGGAAAATTATATTTCTATATTAACCATGACCCATAAGGAGCTGTAATATTTTGAGACATATAAAATTACAGTGACGTTCACGGAGCTGCACAATTCTGCCGGTAAATGTTGCCCGTATATATCACAGAGGTGTGCATTAAGCTGTTAAACAATTTTAAAGGAATTTTTTTTACCTATTTAAAATTTACTTAGTTATATGATTTAATTAACAGTAATTTCCAACTCACAACAAATTACCCAAATATAAAAATAAGAAAATTACCTTAGTTTAAATTCATTACTAAGTATTTGGATTATATCTTATTGAAAAATTATTGGAATATATATTGTTTGTCAATGAGGGAACCTTTTTCTAGCTATCCCACAAAGGGAAATAATGCTGTGACAAATCATTTGTACTGCAATTTTATTACATAAAGCATTCTATGTTCTAAGTTTGGATATGACCTACTTTTGTATACCTAACATTTATCATTACAAACTTTCACATTAATAATTATTGACAAGAATACACTATCTCAAGTTTGTGTTTCAAAAGATATAAAAAGTTATATAAAATATATTGTATTATTATATAAAAACAGTCAGTATAAGCCTGTAGGTGTTATTTATCTATAAACTTATTTTCATATTCATTATATCGACTATAGGTAATGTAAATTAGAATCTAATTTTTGCATTGATTCTCTTATTTGGTCTGTTATATGTGTGACTATAGGAATTATTGAGTGATTATTATACTCTTGTTTACATTTAAAGAAATCCCATGTGTTAAAAGATCTACAGAATGATATGCAATAAGGAAAACTATGACAATATAATTATTGAAAGAGTTAATAATTTTATAAATGTGAAAGTGAGATTGTTTGTTGTCTCTTAATCTTAACAACCTAACCAATCTCTATAAAATTTGGCATACTTATACTATAAAAGATAGAAAAGGATACAGGCTACATTTTATCCTTATCAGTGAACATATATAAAATAAATGTAATCTTACAGTGTGTCTAAACTTGTACATTTAGATTTTAGGTACCCATCTACAGGTGTACCATAAATTGGTATTAAATAAAATAATATGAAAGCTAACTCCTGGGTCTAGTACTATTGTAAAGGGAAGGAATATTGTGGGATCTTATTATATTCTCATAAAAAGTTACACACACTGTATAATCTCAAATTAAAACCGAATAAGGGTATTTCTTTGTACCTTTTTTACAGAAACCTAAAAAAATTGTAACTAATAATTATGGTTAATGAACAATGAATTATTATTAGAACAATAGCTTATATTTAGTCTGTGGATAGGTTGCATGTTAGAAGGAATGTATGAGATAAATAAAGAAGCTGCATTCAAATTTTATATTATTTTTAGATAAATGATAATGACAGGTCACGGAGATTATGTTCTCATTGTGCAAATAATATGAAGAAATTTGCAAAATTCAAAAGAAAATGTTTAAAATCTCATCGCCTATGGAAATCTCTTATGTCTGAAAAATCGGTAAGTTTTAAACTTTACAAGTTTTTACAACTGATGCCTAAGTCCTTTTATTCTTATGGAGAAAGGCCATTGTATATAAAATTGGAAAAAATATTTATTATTGTAAAAATGGAATTGTATTTTATGCATAAAATTATATTTTCCACATTGTTATAAAGTTAAATATGATATTAAGGTCTATAATCTATGGTTACCACTTTAGATTGATTGCTAGTTTGTTAGTTATTCGAGTTGATTTGAAAAAAAAATACAAATATTTGAACAAGTGGAGTGAATGTGTTATTGCACAAGTTAGTAATTTTATGTTTTAAAATTGAAGCAGGTAAATAATATTACTATTATATAATCTATTTAGTTTAGTATCAAATTAAAGGTATGTCTAGTTTATTAATGGTCAATATCTGTGAATGTATTAAAAATTGTATTGACAAGACTGTTTCTTTTAAATAAGTATATGATAAATGTAAATTATTTATTTAATTATTCTCTGTGACGCCTTTTGGTAGTTTATTAGATCAATAGCAACATAAAATTTTATTTTAAATGTTCAATTTAAATAAAATGTTCTTTTCTATAGAAATGTAAAAAGTCTGCAATGAAAATTGAAGTTAAACTTGAAATAATTAAGAATCGATTAAAAAAAGAAAAGGATGAGTTCTATGAAGTTCCAAGTACTGATTTGCCTGAAGTCAAAGATCAAGGAAATTTTATTGAAAATAACTTTGTTTCAATTCAAGTGAAGAATGAAAATGATTCTGAAACTATTTATAATGATGATCATTTTGATGCAGTTAGCACTAAAAATGAAGATGACAATCACTTTGATACAGTTGAAACTAAGAATGACAATGATGATGTTAATATTCATAATAAAGTTAAAGTAGAAAAATTAAAGGTAGTAAGTAAGAAAAATAATACAGAAAAAAAATTAAAAAGAAATTTTAACAACACATTGCAATGTGAAGTGTGTAAAAAAATATATAGTAAGATATTCTTTTTTTATAACTAATATTTCTAAAATTAAAGATTTATTATAAAAAGGCTTTGATCTTATATAAATATTTTTTATTTTAGAGCATAAACAAAGCTTTTTCAAACACACTCAGAAAGGGACTTGTAAGCCAAAGAAAAAAATACCTGACAATGACCTACCTATTTGTCCAATTTTTTATTGTGGTAAGTTTAGAAGTATTTTCGATGTAATAAGGTTATTAGATACTAGATTTTGGTATAAAGCATAGTTATGTGTGATTAATCCATGAGTGTCTAACATTAATTCTAAGCGTCCATAACAGGAGGGAGACTTTGTACAAAAGTCGGTTGCTTCAGTACCTCTGTCCCATTCGTGTTTCAACCGTAAAGCAGTTGTGTTTGCATGGCTGTGTTTCAGTTTGAAGGGTGGGATATGGCGTGAATTTACAGGGTACAGAGGAATAACATCTGAGTCCTCAGGAATGGATACGCATGGGGGGTTTCATGGGCGAAACAGTATACTCTGTTATTTCCATGGTACTGCTCATGTCTATAGGCGACGATTACCACTTTCCATCAGGTGGGCCGTTAGATTGTTTACTGTTTTAAGTTGAATAAAAAAAAGGAGATTTAAAAATTACATATTTACGAACTGCATGAAACTACGGCTATAATGACAGTATCTTAAAGACTAGCAATTGTTCGCGGCTTCGTTAGCGTGTGGTATTCGGTTTTTCGCGCAATTCGCTTTTCTGTATGAGGGTGTAATTTTCAAAAACGATGAAAAGTATTTTATTTATTTCTAATCAGATGTCTAAAATTAAAGTTTCACACTTTTAGCTTCAATTAGTACTCCCATATAAACTTTTATCCCCTATTTCACTCTTTAGGAGTAAATTCTTTAAAAGCCAATAAACAATGTTAATATTTGTTTTGAACCAAGATCTAATATTTCTCGTGTTTAACTCCTAGACTGACAAAATTCAATATACAAACTGTAAACCCTCGTTTTACTCTCTTAAAGAGTTGAAATTTCAATATTTCTTTCGTATTGTCCACCTACTCTATAAAAATAACTTGTTCGCAAAATTTCAAGATTCTAAATTTCATCGGTTTCGACTGTGTGTTGATATATGGGTCAGTCAGTCAGTCAATCGGCATCCTCTGTGAAACGTGCAAAAGATTTGAATTCGATTGCGTTTTAATGCCTTGGTAACATGCAATTCTTATTGTTGTCGTTCATTTCTTGTTTTTGTAGGCATATGTGATATGACATCATCTGAATCTGATCTTATAAGTAAACATATAGAAGAGCACAGATCGCTTAATGATTTGAGCTGTAAAATGTGCGAGTTCAAGGGCAGAGATTTTGCTGACATGGTGACTCACAGGTATGTTTTATCGTTTTCATTGGTTTCATAAAAGCTTATCGTTTATTTTTTTAAATTTAAATAAGTGGTTGCATAGCTTTTAAACAAACGCTTTTAGTTCGAAGTGAATCGGATTTGTTCCGGGCAAAAGTAAATATTACATGCGCTTTATAATGAATGGGCATTTTAACTCACAGTTTACTTTGCCATTTCTGGCATTTGTCCGGCTAGCGTCCTCTAAATCGTGGTTTGTTACTACAAATAATTTAATTTCAGATTTAGCCACCACCCAAAGGAATTTAAAACAATTTATAGTTGCCACGTGTGTGGTCGGAGATCGCCGGCTCCTCTGCCTCTGCAGTTTCATTATAGGTCGGCGCATTTGAAGAAAAATGGCGGCATGTGCACCGTTTGTAATAAAATATTTAGAGTTTACAAGTTGTGGCGAAACCACGAACGTTTGCATAAAGAGGAGACGAACAAATACATCTGTGATCATTGTGGCAAAGAGTGAGTGAACTGGATCATAGTTTTATATATTCTTTATTGCACTTGAAAAAAAAGATACAGCGATTAGTTTAGTAACTTGTTAGCAAAGGTGGGCTTATCTCTAAAAGAGATTTCTTCCAGCCAATCCAATGCAGTTAGAGAAAAATAATTATAAATAATTTTTCCTTAATTTAAATATTTACATTCCTACATTAATTTCATCATCATCATCATTAGCCATTAACCAACAGCCATTAACTATCTACTGCTGAACATAGACCTCGTCCATAAGGAGAGCTTTGTCAGTAGTTGCCACGCTTGGTAGGTGGGTTGGTGGCGGGGCAACCGTAGTTAGGCTTTGGTGATGTTTTAAGAGGGACTCTGCTGCCCATTTTCAACATTTAAATTCCCTTAACCATCTCTTATGAAACCTATGTGAATGGAAGGGGTGACCCATTCTATGCCGGGACCACACACAAATGTAAAAGGGTAATATATGAAATTCAAATTTAATAACTGCAGTTTGAAATAGATCATTAGCTTGTCTGAGGCTTAATGAAACCTAAACAATTTTCAGAGGAACCGGTAAAAGCACTTAATCATTCCATACCTACTTACCGACACGAGCCGCATGTCAATTCATTCGTGGAAAATTGCCTTTAAAACGAACGCTAACGATTTAGATCACTCAGTAAAACGCAACATTTTATTATTGATAACCAAGAAATTTGAGTCGAATACTAAGATTTTTTCGACTATAGTAGATCCATAAGGACGTTATAAATGGAACAGTTTTTTTTTTTCAAAATTTATCATGTTTATTTCTGAGTTTTCATAAAAGTCCAGTTTTGTACTTTGTCCCTGACTGGTCATCAGATGCGTTATGCGTTTAAGCATTCTAATATGTTTCAGATGCCTGTTTCGGCACGAAATAAAGATACATCTGGCTAGTCACTTCAATATTAGAACATTTATATGCGACACTTGTGGCAAAAGATTCAAACAGCTGAGAGGACTTAAAGTAAGTTACCTAAATGTGTTCTACACGTGCATATACGAGGTCTGTCCGGAAAGTTCGTATAAAAGTGTTCTGGAATGCGAGAAAGAGGAGTGGGGAGGCCAGGTAAGCGCAGGACCCCTTCCTTATGTCCCTAACAATGCTTCAGTTCTGGTCTGACCGCCGTGCGGTGCGATTGGCTTGTCACGCCATCTGTGAAGTTACCTCTTAACGAAACCCCGTCGGCATGGAGCCCGCTTCCGTTGAAGAGCAGCGCGTCGTAATCAAGTTTCTCTCGAAACTCGGCAAGAATGGCCGTGAAATTTTTGCCGAGTTTTGAACAGTTTATGGGGATGATGCTGTGAAGGAACCAACCGTCCACAAGTGGCTAAAAAGATTCAGAGAGGGCCGAGAAAGAGTTCGATGTTCGGGGGATTGTCCATCAAGAATTCGTCCCTCCAGGCCAGACAGTTGATGGAAAATTCTACGTCGATGTGCTCAGACGCCTCAAAGCTCGTGTGGCACGAGTTCGTCCAGAATTGGCGCGAGAGGGGCGTTGGATTCTTCACCACGACAATGCCCCTGCCCACACCTCTCTTGTTGTCCGTGAGTTTTTGAGTAAAAATTCCATTACGGTGACCGAACACCCCCTATTCGCCGGATTTGGCCCCGTGTGACTTCTTCTTGTTCCCAAAAACCAAATTGGTACTTCGGGGGCGGCATTTGGGGGACATAAATGAGATAAAAAAAGCTACGACGGGGCAGCTGAGAAACCTACAACCAGAGGACTTTCAAGGAGCCTTCTCACAGTGGAAACGGCGTTGGCACAAGTGCATTATGTCACAGGGGGAGTACTTTGAAGGGGATAAAATTGATTTACCTGAATAATTGTAAAATAAAATTTTTAAAAAACTTTTATACGTACTTTCCGGACAAACCTCGTATGTATTAATTTAACAGTAGGTTTTATTGACTAATAAAAATAGAATGGTAATTTAGCCTACACTATAGGTATATGCTGGTGAACGATGTTAGGTGAGTACAATATGAGCTTAGTTAGTTCGTCGTAATGAATACGCCAGTAATTAATTTTCGACGTTGTAATCTTCAAAAATAGACAATAATATTTTTTATAGGTCCAGCAGCTCTTTTGGTGTTGTAGGTGCTCATGGGCGGCGATAGTCACTTTCCAACAGGCGAGCCACATGGTCAATTGCCTCTGTGTGATAAAAAAAAAATAAACCACAATAGTTTTCACGAGGGATTGCATAGCCAAAGACGATTTGACATATTGTTAAATTTGACCACTTATCCTGGTTATTAATAATTCCATTCCCTCCGAGTAGTATGGTATTAGATAAAGTTATCAATTCTATAACGTCTTATCTGCTCAATTCATCATCATCATCATTTCAGCTGTTATCTGTCGACTGTTAAACATAAACCTATTCCATAGACTGACACAAGGTACGGTTAACTCCATCTATTTGGATCTATTTGTCCTATACTGCGATTGCTTGTAAAGGGTCGTTATTTAAGATCCTTTCTCCATTGGTTGCCAATTCTTCGAGCTATGTGACTAGCCCATTGCCACTTCAGCTTGCTTATCCTTCTACTCAATTAATCGTTATGATATTTACGATATTTAGACATTGAATAAAGACGGATATAAAAAATCATGAACACATCTAGTATAAAAGCAAAGATTTTTTAAAAACATTAATATTATTTTTAGCATCACATGGCCAGCGCGCACGTTACGAATCCAATAAAATGTACCCATTGTAACAAAACATTCAAACACAAGTTCAGCTTGGAAAGCCATATGAAGTTGCTTGGCGGCGACAAGCCTTTCAAATGCGAAGTTTGCTCTAAATGTTTCTCGTCTACGTGGTATTTGAAGAGCCATATGTTTTGGCACACTGGGGAGCGACCGTTCCCTTGCGAACTGTGCGGAAAGAGATTCAAAGCGAAGTGTCAACTTACAGTGCATCTAAGGCGACATATGGGCAACTTGCCGTACAAATGTTCGCATTGCTCTAAGTGTTTTACAACTACTACACAGAGGAGAGTTCACGAGAGTGTACACACTGGGATTCGAAGGCACAAATGTCCATATTGCGAGAAAAGTTATCATTGCAAAAAGGTTATGAGAGTGCACTGTAAGACGCACCACAATATCGAAGTGGATTCGTCTGATGAGAAAAGAGAAAGTAGCGAGGTAGTAGACAATAAGGTAAAATAGTTGGACATATTCGTGGCTTATACAGCGTAGGTAAGTAAAATATTTATTATTCATAAAAAAATCTGATACCTCCCTTTACTATATAAATCTATTTTATTTTAACATGTTTTATCACTCATTCGAATTAGGAATTCAGCTTAAGAAGAAATGAAATATGGAAAAGGTTTTATTATTTAAAATTATTATTTTATGAAATCTCTGATTAGTGTATAGAAAATACTGCGTATCTAAAGGGCAATAGAATAAATTGTTGTTGTAAAAATAGATAAAATTATATTAAATAAAATACTCGAGTCCCAAAAACATTAAATTGTTTTAGTTATTGTTTTGTCCTATTTCTGTGCTAAACTCTCAATTTGAAAGACAATGAATACACTAATAATATTTGATATAATATAGTATTTGAAATAGGTTTGTACCAGGTTTTAGTATTTATAAATAAGAGGGTTGAGTGTAAAGGTCACGTCATATTAAACTTTTTTATTGGAACAATGCTTGTATAACGTGTCATGACCTTTATTCTCAAAAGTAAAATCGTTTTTCATCAGCGATTATTTTTCAGCGAATTCTCGACGTCATATCTGTATCAATAAATATGTTTTATTATTATTATTATAAATGTACCTTAATTAATTAAATTATAAATAATATAGTATTGGATTAAATATCAAATAAGATTACAAAAATATGGGCTTTTTATTATTATATTTTTTTAAAGCAATAATATGTAATGAGGTATTAAGAAAGTTAGAAAAATAAATGTAATATTGGTGAAATTAAGGAACAATCTAGTACAGATTGTTCAATAATTAGTTTTTATTCTTTCATGAGTATGATAAATTGACGTTCCCGTAATCCTGTCAGCTTGCTATAATTTATTTGTGAATTTAATTGAAGGTTTTTATCTCCAATTTGTTTATTACAGGATATCTACGTAGGTAAATGGGTGTAAAATATTTAATATGAAATAACAACTTCTATTAACTTAACTCTTATATAAATTAATAATATAATATTTATTAATAAATTAAACTCCTTATTAAATTAACTCTTTCTGTTGAATTAATATTTAATATCTATTATTACAAAAACACTTGTAAATCTACACAAAAGTTTTCACTAAACAATATATAAAAAATATACGATATTTACAGGCGATAGAAAATTAAAAAATTGTTTGCGTTTTTATTATAAACGTATATATTATTAATGTTAATTAACGAATGTTTTTTTTTTATACCACAGGTGGCAAATAAGCATAAGGCCCACTTAATGGTAAGCGGTTACTGTAGCTTATGAATGCCTGCAATACCAGGGACATTACGCTCGTATTGCCGACTCTAAAAAAACCTCTTTGCTCCTGTTTTTGAGGAACCAATGCTGTCCCTTGTCCCTTGGAAGTCCCTTGGAAAATTGGTAATTAAAAGTGTATACTGTGACGTCTATGGTCAAAACCATATCGTACTTCTGAGAACTGACATTTCTTTCATATAGTTTAAATTTTATAATTATTATTTTACTAAGCTGTTTACTACGAGAACTAGGCATAATATACTAAAATACCTCATATAAAACTAAACCACTTGACCAAGCTGGTAATAGTCGGTCAATATTCTTCTATTATCGTAAACACCCGTACTTTTACCATCAGGTGAGCCGTATGCTTGTTTGCCCCCTATGTTATAAAAAAATACTCAAGTACTGAACAGCTATTTTATACTACTATAACTATTCTGTTCTATTAACTTTCATCAAGTTGGTAAGCCCTAATCAATTCCGGGGTCGTTTTTAATAAACATCTAGAGGCGAGGGCTATGCATATTTTTAAGAGCCATTTTCGAGACGCTGCTGTGTGGGGGCCGGGTCTGGCGCGCTCCGTGGGCTTGGAAAATTTCAATAACCTAATACATTATGGTAAGAACGCTCCGAAGTTTTGCATAGCGTGATATTGACCTGACTTACTATCGAAGAGGAAGCGAACTGCGTACGATGATATTATTGCTCGATAAAACAACTTATTTCATGTTTGTATCTCGGATAAAGATAAAAAAAAAGATGAGATGATCTTTAATAATATTCGTAGACTATTCTTTATCCATGACTTCGTTTGCGAATAGACTACTTTCTATTTAGGTAAATGGATACATTTTTCAATCGTCTTTAAAAAGGTGGATCTCGATTCGGTTGTTTTTGTTTGTTATACATGAGTGTCAGTTATAAATCGATTTAGAAAATTCTTTTTTTTTATTTGAAAGCATATACTTACAAATTGGTCGAAAAATTTAATCAAAATCGGTTCAGTTGTTTAGTTTTCAAATCTAAATAACTGGTTCTGCCACAATTTTTTTTTTTGAAAGAATTTGAATACGTTTTTTTAATCATAAATTATTTGAATGGAACTATGGCATATAAGCGACGGTTTGCCTGATGGAAAGTGACAAACCTTGTCTATAAACATGAATTTGTATGATTAATATGTAATGATTCGGTGTAATGCCCATCTTCATGTGTTGACATTCATTCCAGAGGACTAAAGTGTTATAGCCCCCTACCCTTTAATTTCACAGCTATTTTCCATCCTTCCAGTATAATATTACACGTAAGAAATAGTGTGTTTATTTATACTATCGGTTCCAGTGTAGTCAAAATCAAGGTCGAAGTTTTCGAATCTAGTTTTTGTACCTTACCTACACCACTAATGTCTTGTTTATGCAACATAGTATTAGCAAATAAGTCGACGGTTCACCTGATGGAAAGCGGTAACCGTCGCCTATAGACATGAACAGTACATGGACATAACAGAGTACATTGTTTCACCATGATTCCCTTCTTAAATTCTAACCTCAATCGAGGTCGAAAATAAGGAATTAATAGTAATGGGGTCTAGCAGCCCTATTATATTCTGTCAGTTCGAATTCCACGCAGTTCCCTTTGGAAATCATCACGGTTACTTCTTGTGGTATTCATAAGTTAACTTACTAACCCGCTTCATCCTCATCTATTGTCTCTCACTGGTGTCCCACTAGTATACTGATTATGTAGTCGAGGCAATCATTGCATTCTCATACATTTAAAAAATCTACATCGTTATCTTCTTACATTTCCTGCATACAATCTAGTCGTGATACTTGATTATCTAACTCGCTGTTCGTTGTCCATCAGACATCTGCCTTTTATAGGCCCATTTTTTACTGGGAAGCCCACATTTATGTGAGAGGCTAATCCATCACCGTCGGAGGCAGCGCGTCTCGTTAGCATAATGAATTAGTGCGTCTTGACAGGACCCCGCACCTCGTGACGTGAGCTTGTGAACACGATACGAAGGATTTCAAATTATATGTCAAGCGGAAACCCCCATTCCTGTTCAACCCAATATGATGTTTCACGCATCAATAAGCATAGGTTGTTGTACTGACTTCATATCGTTATTCTTGATTAAAGTGATGTACCTATGGAATATAAAGAGATTCAATACTGCGACTTTACTACGTGAATCAGAATAACAAGTATATATATTGTGTCACAAAAAAATAAAATAAAAAACAACAATGCCAAAATATCAACACAGAGATGTTTTATAGACACAATAAATTGAAAATATTCTAATTTTGAATGCGACACCGTGGTTTGGCTTTAATTAATTTTTTTTACGTTACAAAAAAAGAAAACTGGCAGTTTTGAAAGGAAACTTGGCAGTCGTCACGGAATTAAAATACTTGGTATCAACACGGAAATAATATTGATTGCAAAATAATTGTGGAAATCAGTATTGGCGACGTTATTGGTAATATAGCCACAAAAAGTACTGGCAAAATGAGAACCTATGACTTTCTCAATTGGTAAGTATATTTAGCGTAATGAGTTGACTTTTGTTTTCCTATTGTATAGGTAGTCGTAGTATTATAAGTTAATTAGAAACATAATAAATACCTAGATTTATTATAAACAGAAAAGTACACTATCCATTTTCAAGGTCTCTAATAAACTCTTCGGCGATGAAATCCCATCATCATCTCAGCCGTTTTCTGTCCACTGTTGAACATAGGCCTCCCTATGTGGGACTGACATAAGGAACGGTCCTGAGCTACTTGCATCCACTGACTCTTTGCGAGACATTTGAGGTCGTCACTCGATGTAGTGAGAGGTCGTCCTACACTGCGTTTGCCCGTACGGGGTTTTTCCCCATCGGTTGTCGGTTCTTCGAGCTATGTGACCAGCATATTGTCACTTCAGGGTGCTTATCCTTCGGTTACTTTGGTTCTTTTGCGGATATCCTCGTTTCGGATTCTATCACGCAAAGAAACTGAACGTTGTTTCTCCATAGCCCGCTGAGTAATTTAAAGTTTTGCATACAGGCAACCATGTTTCAGTTTTATAAGTCATCATCGCATTGGTTAAAGACCTTCGTCTTCAAAGTTTTAGGTATTTTAGAGGAAAAGATGTGGCATTGTTTACCGAATGTTACCTAACTTGGATTCTTCGATTGACCTCTCGTTCGAAGTTGGACTTACCTAGTTGGACAAGATGTTCTAGGTATATATACTCGTCAATAACTTCTAGCGTAGTGTTCTCAATTGTAACCGATATAGGTGTGACATGAACGTTAGACATGATTTTAGTTTTGTCTATGTTCATCTTAAGACCTACCTGTTGAGAAACACTATTGAGGTCATTGAGCATAGTATTTAATGCCTCCGGGGGACTGGTAAATAATGTTGATAACAAATCAAATTAATCCAAAAGATGGCGGTCTATTGAATTAATTTGATTATTAAAAGATGGCGATATTGGTCCTCTGTCACGGCGCAAACTAATGTGCTCGGCGAAACATGGGCACGTCGAGTTGTGTTACAACGGCAACAGCCGAAAAATACCTCTAACTAGATAGGGTAGACACCCTATCAGAGATTATATTCTTGATCATAACTTTTATTATACATTTCAAACAAAGTAGGTACAATCAATATTTTGGACAGTTATTTTCAAAGTTAAGAGAGTAGTTAATGTTCCGAAACTCGCCTCGGGGCAACCTGCGGCGGTTTCGGATATTGCCTTCTCGCCATTCCTTTCTTTGTTCTCTGAACCATATAATCTATGAAGACGTTCGTGTACTTATATACCTAGTGCCGTAAGTGTTTCATTTAACTTTTAATCCATTTAAAAAAATCATAGGTGTCTATTTTGCTTGCAGAAAAGCGACTACAGGG